AATAAGTGATTTCTATTTTGTGGTCGTATTTTTTACCGATGTGCTTACTAATTTTGACCTCATTAAAACATCGGTAAAAGTCAGATTCGACAATTCAGTACAGCGTCTATTGAATATAAAAGAGGCAAAAAAAATAGTATGGTCACATGTTTTTGGGGCGATGGTTACCAAATATACATCAAGATTAGTTCTTTTTAAACTAGGAAATAAGCATTCGTTTGTAGGGAGCCTAATTTTAATATGTGATCTGTATGGATTGTTTTTGTATGTCGCTATTCAAACATCGGGACGTGTCACAGATGTTATAATATAACAATTTCGCAAGTCGTGAGCGTTGCGCAAACTATGACGTCAGTCGGTTCCGGCTTCACTTTCACGAACACTTTCACCGCTCACGACCACAACTTTGATGAGAACAGTGATGTACAAACTCACAAATAAATATTATATATATGTATAAATATATATATGTGTGTGTGTGTGTGTGTGTGTGTGTGTGAATTATACACAATATCAATAACATAATTAAGGATAATTTGATTGGTTTATTTAGATGTATCACATGTTTTGATACTATTTGTTTTTAGTTCAATCAAATTATTGTATACTAGTTTTTGCCCGCGACTTCGTCCGCGTTAATTTTATCATCATATTCTTCTTCTATATATATATAAAAATGGATTGCTGTTCCTTAGTCTCGCTAAAACTCGAGAACAGCTGAACGGATTTATCTTACTTTAGTCTTGAAATGTTCGTGGAGGTTCAGGGAAGGTATAAAAGCTGAAAAAAATTGATTCATTACTGGGAAAACCATAAAAACAGCCCTTTTCTATTTCCCATACAAACGTTTTTTTTTACATTAGATTTGACAACTAACTAATATGTCAATCATTCTGTTACACTTCAAAACACGGAGATTTATGGCTTACAGATAAACTCCAAAAACATAAATAAAAAAACGTAAGAGATACTTTTTGATTATAGGGCGATACGAAGTTCGCCAGCTCTTCTAGTTAAGGATAATTTGATTGGTTTATTTAGATGTACTACATGTTTTGATAATATTTGTTTTTTGTTCAATCTAATTATTTTATATGTTTACGAAATTTTAATCTCAATATGAAGTATTCATAATAAATATGTATAGTACAAAAAACCAAACTAGGATGTCCATTATTAATTATTTTTTTTAAATAAAGACTATATAATAATATGGAAAGTTTTTAGTGGCGGATAATGTAGGGGATTTGAAAATTTTAATAGAGATTTATTTCATCATAATTGCTAAATATAAATACGATTTTACTTGTTGCTTTTCTCTCACCATTGAAGATTGATTTTGATGAAATGTCTCTAACTGAAATTTCTGGAATATTTAAACGTTAAACTGCGGTTTCATTACAATAGAAAGCTGACTTCAGTTATTGTTAAATGCTCTGATTATTTAGTTACAAGATTATAATCAAATAATAAATAAAACTGGCACGATAGTTTTAAATATAAAAAAAAATGCTTTTTACAAATTTGCATGGATATATTTGTGTTCATTACGAATTATCTCTAAAACAACTGGACCAATTTCGAGAACTTTTACTAGAACGAAACTGATGCAATAAAGTGTAAGTTAGATTAATACTTTCCCAAACGTTTTTTATCCTCATTTACATAAATATGAAATAAATGGAATAATATTATTTCTAATTTTGTTTTTCCTTTCTAAGGGATTTTATGATTCAATTAGAAGTTTATAATCACTTAGGTTAAGTCCCTTAAAACCGCGAAATTATATGTAAATATATAATTAATAAATAAAATACAATTCCCCGTCCGTCATTCAAAATCACAATTTCTTTAAACAATACTAGACTTATTTATCTACTAGTGACAGCAAGCACCTTTTACTATCGGTGATAAAGTTTACCTTTGTTACATTAAATACTACGGTGGTGAGACAAACTCGAAAATATCTTAAATTTTAAATAACCCATTACAGTTCTGTTTCCTAATTTACATTCAGCTAGTATTGAGGTAAAAAAATTAATTATTTACTAAAATATATATGTTTATACTAGCTTTCCGCCCACAGCTTCGCCCGCGTGGAGTTCGGTTACATCGCGTTTCCATGAGAAGCTTTCAAAAGTCAAATAAAAACTATCCTATGTTCTTTCTCAAGGTCAACTCTATATCTGTACCAAATTTCATTAAAATCAGTTCATTGGTTTAGGCGTGAAAGCGTAACAGACAAACAGACAGAATTACTTTCGCATTTATAATATTAGTAGGGATACAGACTAAGCGTCTAATGGAAGCTGCTACTGAGTCCAAAACAATAACTTATATATATTCCCACACTTTCTAACGCTATTGTTGTAAAAGAGACAAATATCTCAGAATTCATTTGATGGTAGCAAGTCTGGTGTAATCACGACTATATTAAGACCTGGTTTCGTGGTAACTTTTATTCAATATGAACACGACCTTAGTAATTGGACCGCGGGATATTGAAGTGTTACAATTTACTCGGCATTTTAAGTGAAATTCACTCAAACTTTCCTTTTATAAGTATCGATTAACGATTATTTGAGTTTTATTCATACTAATATTGTAAAGGCGAAAGTTTGTGAAGCTGTATGTATGGATGTATGTATGTTTTTTGCTCTTTTAGGCGAAAACTATTAAACATATATTGATATAACTTTACAGAAATGTAGTTCACATATGGGAATAAGACATGGACTTAAAGGCAGACCCTGGCTGAAGCTGGGAGGTTGCCAGGAAGAAGAAGAATAAGACATGGACTATAACCTATCCCGGAATCTCTTATAGTTAACTCAGGATGACTTTATTATAGTTATTCTACTCTTTTATTAATATAAAGTGGGAGACGCAAACTATAAATGGATATAGATTAGTTTAACACCCCGCATACATTTCTCTACAACTAATCCACGCGGACGAAGTCACAGTCATAAACTTGTATATTCATATTGTTATAAGCAGCGCCATCAGTTCCTTACTAATTATAATATACTTTAATCCTTACAATTATTTTTATGTCTCATTATAATTAATTTTTAATTATAATACTGAACCATTGTAATTTTGTAATGGCAACCATTTAAGTATCAACTTGTATTTGAAAACTATAAATACTGGCTTCACCCATTTTGTAAGACGGTACTGGAAGTAACGCTAAATATACAGGGTGACTGGTGAATTACTATCAATATTTAAGGAGCATACTCGGTACATGATTCTCATTCGAATTATGTAAAAAAAATAGGTACTTAATTTTTGACCAAATTTCCATATAAATAAATAAAGTGTTGACACGTTCCAAGTGTTCCAAGTGTGGACGCGTGCGGCGGCGTGCTGATACAAAACCACGCCCCCGCCGCGTGTGTGTGAGTGTGTGTGTATACCTTACCTGTAGGGTGTTCACACGATGCGTAATTAATTACATATAGATTGCTAATAGATAAGGTCAAGACTGGTGTTGTAGTTCTTATACTGATGGACCGATTTCGATAAAGTTTTTTATTTGAAGTGTTGATGATAGTGACCAGAGTTGTACCAGTTGAGATTGACAAAAGGACCTAAGTTGCAACAGACTATTTCATGCCTACATACTTTTATTATAGAAAATACACAAGGTCGGACCAAAATCTACGAAAAGGACACGCAAAGTCGGGGGCGACGACTACTATGCCAAAATAAGGAGTTTATTTTTAATTGAAATAAAACCTATCTATTTATAAAGACGAAACTTTTGGACAGATTAATATTTTTGTTCTCTTGCAAGGAAAAATCACTTAACATAATATAATTAAGCATAAAATTAAAATTGCTTATAGATAAGAATAACATAGAATATAATTTATCCCCATATTTTGGAAATATAATGGAATTTGTACATAATGAAATGTGTAATTTTTGTAGTCGCCTAACACAGATCATAGATGGCGCTGTCAATAGACACAATGTTTGTTTAAAAAAATGTACTTCAATCAAAAATTAAAACTTAAATTGAAAATTTTATCTTATTTAAAGTAATTTAATATTAAATAAATATGACTTCATTTACTGGTATATTTAGTTTTGATTCAGAAGCTATTAAAAAAACAGATCTATATTTTTTCTATCTTGTTGTAGGCAAATAGATTTATAAATATTAACTATGAAAACTATTTATAAAAATCTTTTAAAACCAATGCAATATATTAACAGGAAGAACAATTTCATATTAAAATTTAAAATTTTATTTTAAAATTATTTTATTTCATTAAATTTCAAAAATGCTTCGTTAAATTTTACGTACATACTTTTTGTAGACAACTTTGCTAATCTTACATTTTATATATTGATTTTATCTATTATCTCTTTTAAACGATATCTTTTATATCTTAGATATAAATAGAATATTATAAAAATATCAAATGTTTTTCACTTTCTTTATATCAAAATTAAATTATATATTTATATATCGTATTAATTTATAAAGCATAAATAAAATGGTACAAATGTTTAAACTTAGGGGTTGTCCATTAATCACGTGATCTTTTTTTAGCATTTTTTAACCCCCCCACCCCCATTGGTGATACGTAGTGAGGTTTAAGACCACCCCCCCTCCCCCTTCTCAACATCACATGTATTTTTAGTACCTACAACGAATCTTAAAATTTTCTGAATATTATCTTAATTTAAATACAGGTATAAACTATAATCTTATTTTATTCTGAAATAAAGGACCATAATAAATTAATATTTGTTTAAAAATCGCGCGTTAGACGAAAAAATAAATACACGTGATATCTTACTACACCCTCCCCTCCCCCTTGTGATATTTTCGTGATTTTTATCAAACCCCTCCCCCCCCTTTCAAGCCTCACGTGATTAATGGACAGCCCCTTATTAAAAAATATATAGTACAAATGAAATTGTCAAAAGCGGCATCCGTTGAGTAATACAAGAAATGGTTTAGAAATAACATACAATAGTAATCACAAATTTCGCCAACAGATGGCACTGTCACCAAATAACATTATTAACAGCGCCATCTCTTGGAAAATTGAAATACTTTTTAATGTTTTAATTAAAGTATGTATATTGTTATAAAGATAATAGTATTGTAATAAAGATTAAAGTATAACTTACCTTGCATATTATCCAGTAGATAGGTCAACAGCTTGGCAGTACCGTTGCTGTCGTTGTAAATGGAGAGCATCTCTTTACTAAGCGGATTCCCTTGTAGACCGAGCATTTGGAGATGGAACAGTTTCCCGAGATCATAAGGCAGTACTCTTAAATAATTATTGTGAAGGTGTAGCTCTCTGGAATAGAAGATAAAAATATCATTAATATTAATTCTTATATAGTATAACTATGATTCTCAAAATGATTGCAATGGACATACAGAAGCGGCACAATATTGAATATGAGAGAAAAGTTTTAGAACCTCTGATTTAAACTATTGTGCCACTACATAGAAATATACTCTTACATATACAAAGCATTTCAGATTATATTATACATAATATTGTATTAAAATATATTCTTATTTTCTTTAATATCAAGAATATTATTTTTTCCCCTATCCTTAATGAAGACAATGACACTTATTTCAAGATTCAAGTAGAAAATTATTTTATGAAGGTAAAAAACGCCATCAGGTTAATTATAAATAGCATTTTAAATTAAAAATCACGTGTTAATGAACTGGTTATTAATGAAGAGGATAATAAAGGAGATATTTTATCTACTTATCGGTTTACGTTTTGTAACTTTGGAAAGTTCTAGAACAACATATTATATTAATATTTCTTAACAAATATAAAAGTTACATTTGTGTTTTTAAAAAAAAAGATAATCTTCTATATATATAAAAATGGATTGCTGTTCCTTAGTCTCGCTAAAACTCGAGAACAGCTGAACGGATTTATCTTATCTTATTCTTGAAATGTTCGTGGAGGTTCAAGGAAGGTATAAAAGCTGAAAAAAATTTATTCATTAATGGGAAAACCATAAAAACAGCCCTTTTCTTTTTCCCATACAAACGTTTTTTTGACATTAGATTTGACAACTAACTAATATGTCAATTATTCTGTCGCACTTCAAAACACGGAGATTTATGGCTTACAGGTAAACTCCAAAAATATAAATAAAAAAACGAAATAGATATTTCTTGATTATAGGGCAATACGAAGTTCGCCAGGTCTTCTAGTGTAATATAATTATTACCAGTGGCGGCTGTACCTTAAGTGCACTCGTGCGCTGAACCACCAATTCAAAAGTTTTAAAAAATTACAAAATATTACTTCATCTTTATTTTTAAATTATCATTTTAATATTTATTTTTTAAACATAAAAACGTATAAAAAATTAAGTTTTCTAATTATAGTTAAAAAGTTTGTGCGCTTTACTAAACTAATATCTCGTGCGCTTAAGCGAGTGCACGAGGACTCCTAATACATCTTGTATGAGATACGCATTAATACGCCTGACGCGTGAAACAAAAGATAGTTCATAGAAATGTACCGAGTAATGAGTCGGTTCTCGAGCGCCGCACGAGCGGCCGAACATTACCGAGAGCACCCGATGTATGACGAATTGAGCCGTGATTGACATCTCATGTTTTATTGCATTTTCTAATTTTAATATTTTAGTAAAGTGCACCACCAGTTTTATAACCCACCAGCCGCCACTGATTATTACAAGTATGAAAACGAGAAATGTGATTGGATAAAATTTTAATATATATATATATAATGTTAAATAGTTACAAATATAAATAAAAATAATCCTTACGAAACATATTCTATGACACTTGAAGTAAAACTTGTCTTAGAAAGACATAATTGACTGTTAAACAAATTAATTTATATTAAATGCAAAATGGCTAATATTTCCTTTGTCCTGATTTAATTCTAGCTAAAAATACTTTCCTAAAATTAATATAATTTGTACCATGTCTCAAATCGATTGTACTTATTTCACTTAAAACCAAACGAAATACCAGTCTGAGTTCTTATTATTGCGGATGTTCCCACCAAATATAAACTAAGGTAAATAAAGGGTTAAAGACAGCTCAACAATAACACGCAGTGTGAGTCGGCTTCGCGCATGAATGGTTCCGTACCATCTACATATAAAAACGTTATAATAAACTATGTTTTTTATATGAGAAGCACATTAAATATAAACTTAATTCTGTTTCTTAGACTTTCTTATATAAATATATTAAATGTTTAAATAATTATACAGACTGGCAAGGAACTAACTAATACCGTTTTACTCATTAGTTACGGTACCCTAAATACAAGATATGTTAAACACCAATAAAATAAAATTTTTAGCAATCTAAAACAAGTTTCCAAAGAAACTGCGTCTTAAATATAAACACATATAATAACAATTCGTATGTTTACTAATATATTTTGTTATCTCGAGTTCAGTGACCTTGCGTCTGAACAACGATATTCATTACAGCCTGTTCAAGGATTTATCTATTTATCATAATCTACAAGCTGATACTGAGCGTAGTGACCTTTGAATTAATATTATAAATACTTTATAACATGTCATATACATATACAGGGTGACTGGTGAATTACTATCAATATTTAAGGAGAATACTCGGTACATGATTCTCATTCGAATTATGTAATAAAATAGGTACTTAATTTTTGACAAAATTTCCGTATAAATAAATAAAGTGTGGACACGTTCCAAGTGTTCCAAGTTTGGACGCGTGCGGCGGCGGGCTGATACAACACCACGCCGCCGTACGCGTATGTGTGTGTGTGTATATCTAATCTGTAGGGTGTTCACACGATGCGTAATTAATTACATAACTTTTGGTTAACTTTACTTAGAAGTTTATTAATATTTATGTTATATTAATTTTTATTTTGTCATATATGATCGTCAAATATCACGTCCTCAAGTATCGATAGTAATTCACCAGTCACCCTGTATATTTATATATAAGTAAATATGTACATATATTGTTGTTAGTACGTATGGCAATCTGTTGTTCTTAACTACTAAACGAATTTTGATGAAACTTAACTGTAATGTTATTCAGACATCAGAATATGTCATGCTATAATTTATCCAGGAATTGAAACAAGTGTGAATATGAAACTACGTGAAGCAGGCGATAGATGGCGTTGCCTGTGGGTTAACCCATCTATTGTTTTAATACACTTTTCTTATTTCTATCTGAGCCGAATTCTGGTCGACATGAGCGAAGTAGCGGTCAAAAATTTGTATGTAAGTATGTAAATAAACGTTAAGAAATAAAATTTAATTTCAATATTATTGTTTATTTTGGTATTAAAATAATAAAAACATTCACGACACCTGCATTAAAGGAAAACCCGAGAGGTGTCTTTATTTATAACAACATTTAGATAAGTTATCAGTTATTATTATTGAAACAATACACTTATATGTATGTAATTTCAATGTCTGTCTGTTTGTTCCGATTAATGTCTGAAAAGGTTGCACCGATTCTGACGAGACTCACACCCGCAAAATAATCAATGTAATAAATTATATTTTAGGCTGCTTAGATTTGATTTTTCATTTATTTGTATTGATAAAAATATATATAAAAATAACTATCTCGAACGGACGAAGACGCGGGCAAATGTTAGTAGCTTTATACAAAGTATAATAAGAACGTTTTGCGCATTTTGTTTTGCCACAATTACGTCTTAAACGAAAGTCATTCCACAATGGCGGATTTTTTTGCTCATTCGGTAATCAAATATATGCGCCTGCGCAGCCCGCTGGGTTGCATAACAGCCATTCTGTTTAGTTGTGGTACATTTGGTTATTCTAAGAGAAACCCGTCTTGTATACAATGAGACTTCATTAAGTGTTTTGTAATAGAATCGAATAGTTTATAAGTGACATACATTTCAAATAATTACGAGTATCTATATTCAAGTCAGCAAAACTTTTCTGCGAAACTGAATATTTATATTGTTAGATATTGATCAACTTGTTCTTAGTTTTTTTTTTCTTGATATTTCAACAGGAGCCAAAAAAACGTTAAAAAAACAAAGAAATCTTATAAACTGATTCCACTAGGTAGTCTGCTTTTTTTGTATTAAGAATTCTCATTAATATTATACTGTAGTACTCTTCCTTGCAGTCAAATTTTTAAATAACAATTCTTTTTGCACATGAGAATAAATTGTATGAAAAATCGTTAAGATACATCTAGAACTGGTTATATTTATGTGAGATGATGTCGAAACTGACTCCGGAATTTCATGAACTCCAAGGTTTTAGAGTTTTCATACACATTTTATAGGTATTTGAGATGGTCGCGAAACTAAATCCAGTATAACATGACCTCCAAAGTTAGATTTTGCTTGAACCTAGGCCATAATCTCACCTGAGTTGTATGAGGTCTCCCAATTCAGCGGGCAGAGCTCTCAGCTTGTTGTTTGACATGTCCAGCGTGTGAAGATTCACGAGCTGGTTTATGTCGGGAGGTATGCGCTGCAGGGAATTGTCGTTCAGATACAGCGCCGTCAGGTGCGTCAGTTGGAACAGTTGCGGCGCCAGAGCGCGCACACCTCCTGTTATCTGGAATTATATTATATATGAGCCCATGCTCTACGATGATGGGCATATTACGAAGATTTGTAGGCACAACCTATTTTAATGATAATCAAAAAAAAATAATGTTCTGTTCAGATGCGTTTCATATGACACCATGCTTTGAAATAATGATTTTCATGAAGATTTGTAAGCACAACCTATTTTAATGGTAATCCAAAAAAAATTACGATGTTTTGGTCAGTTGCGTTATAGAAACTATAGAATTGCCTGATTTTAATAAGAAAAAATGTGATGTATATATTCTGTTCACAATAAGACGAGTATGTATACGTTACCTCAAGCGTTGCCCAGGCTCCGCGCCTGCCAGATGCCCGCTCCGCTTCCGACATAATGTGATACGTGCGCCCACTAGCGCCCTCATGCCGGTCCTTGTTGCGAGACATTCTGTCACCTATAAAAACAAATATGGCCGACCAATATAAATTTAAAATACTTTTAAAATGTCTTCTAGGATTCGAATTTTAAAACGGCTGAAGTAAATAAAAAAAAGTGACGACAGAAAATCAACGTAAATAAAAAAAATATTACTCAACATATGTATATTATTTTCAAAGAAATAAATACAAGTAAATATTGCTAAATTATCTAAAAACTATACGACTAACTGTACACTTCATACAATGTTTGTTAAAAATTAGATCCTAGCTATTTTAGTATATTGTTGTAACCTAGATAGAGTTTGTTAAACTTAACTACTTATGGTTACTGAGTAAATTCTAAATTACCTTATCTATGGAAATATACAGATCAAATTAGTACCAATAATACTATGAACGATCGGATTTAAAAAATTATATTAAAAATAGTGTTATATATTTTCATATTTTTGCGTTAGATTTATTTGTTTTGTATTGTATTTTCAAACCAAATTTTCTTTTCTCTATATCAAGACGATGTAAAATTTATGACAAATCGGGATTTTACAATCTATGTGAATTAAAAATTCCTTAGAAATATGTAATTTTGTATAACTTTGTAAGTACTTCAAGCTGACAAACATTTAGTTATATTTTTTAGTTTCATCTAAATAATTCTTAGTCATTAGAATAATGGAAGCTCATGTTTTCATATTAAATGAAACTATCCTATTTTTAGTAACCTACTGACTGCACTCATTTGAGGAACAATGATTCATTTGCATGAAATTCTGACTGCATGCGATCCAATATATATTTTTTAAATTATTCACAAAATAATTATTTATTTATTATTAAAAAACTCCACTAATATCATATTTTTATAAAGTCTTATGATGGCTTGAAATTGTTATTTAGAAAGCGATCTCATTTAACGTGACCTTAATAGATAATGTGCCTCCTATAAAATTTTCAGACTGTTGCTAAATTCTAAGTCGACAACCGATCCGTGTCATACTCGTAGTTTGACCCACTGACAATAGCGAATTATAAGCCAAAATTATTCTCGTAATAAGCCAATACAGTACGAGACGCGAACTTTCACGATGTACACATATAGAGTTAGTACAGTTGTGCTAAATACACGTTCCTTCGAACGTATTTGGTTAAGCAAAATTGGCATTTTTGGTCTTTGAACGTCTTAGCTTAAGCAAAATTTTCATTTGGTTATACTACAGCTTACATAAGAAAGTATATCTGATGGATTTGTATGCCAACCAAGAGCCAGTATCATCATTATGTTTAAATGTTTTATTCACAAATCGTTGCATATTATTGTATTAGCGTACATTCTATTCGTTTTGAATGAAAAAGGATAAACGATTTTTTTGTAGAGTGACCTAAACTTGTAGTAAGTATAGTGTAGAAGGGAGATTTTATCTTCAAAAAATATTTACAAAAAGTAACTATAAGCGAAACTCGATCCTAAATCCTATACAAATAAATCTCACAATTAAAATTCCAGTATAAAAACTACATTTGTTACTTCTCTTGTGTCAGGCGGATCAATTTCTAATCCATTCAAGTCAAGGACTATTTTTGTGAGTACTATTGCTCAATGTTGTGGCCATCAAAAATGTTCGACAGTACCATTGATAGATTTCTCCGTGGAAAATTTTATTGTGTGTATTAAAAAATTGTTTATTTAGAAATGAAGGTAGAAAACCCCAGTTATGTATATATCCCTATCAATATTATTAATGCGAAAGTAACTCTGTCTGTCTGTCTGTCTGTTACGCTTTCGCGCCTAAACCACAGAACTGATTTTAATGAAATTTGGTACAGATGTAGAGTTGACCTTGAGAAAGAACATAGGATAGTTTTTATGCCAGACTTTTGAAAGGTTCTCTTGGAAACGCGATATAACCGAACTTCACGCGGGCGGAAAGCTAGTAAATATATAAAAATAAGATTATAACATTTATATCTTTAAAACTAAACACCTAAAAACAACTATTACAAATGCGATCTTGCAATAATCAAGGTTAAAATGAAACTAACAAAAATTGCGATAAATTTATCTGATTTGTGGTAAAAAATTTAACTGATGTGTTTTTTATCAAAAATATATTATTTACATTGATATTTCATGAAAAATTTTTGCTTTAATATTATTTTATAAACAAAATATTTGCGTAATATCCAAAATTAAGACATCAAAAAGTGAAAATAATTTCGATAAAATTAATATTATGACTCCCTTAAGTACTTAAAAACAAAAAATATATGGGAACAATAAAAAATTGTATGTGTATTCTAAAATCATTTGCAAAATACCCTAAAGTAGACCAGTAGACCGTGAAAGAAAACGCACAATGTAAGCAATGATCGCACGAGCTGCTTCAAACAGATAAGGTAATAATTAACTTCAATACATTACGTACACTGTAACGAAATACAAAATATAAGTAGTGTATATATAAAACTGACGACTTTAAGCTAAGTATTGAGATCTTTTTTCTATATATCATACGTATTCGTGCTCCCAGCTTAAGCGAATAAAATATAACACATAAATTTGCAATATTAGGTAGTAATCTGAAATTGTGAGAAATTTAAATATATTTTATTCTTGTGCAATTTCCCAGCTTTAGCCAGGGACTAACCTTACATGTTGTGGATGGTTTTGGCTAATTGTTATTTGGCTCTTTGGAAATTAAGAAGTGGTGTCTAAATACTCTTAGAAAGTACATATGACTCGGAAAAATCACATTGGTACTTGCCAGGGCTAGAATCGAACCCGCGCCCTCGTGCATGAGAGGCGGGCCTTTTAATCACTAGGCCACCACTGACTTAGAAATTTAAATATATTTTATATATATATAATAAAGGAACCGTTAACAGAGGATTCAAACGTCATACACATTCGAAGGCTTTACTCACATTCATAAATCTTCGCACGTTAAACTATTAACATAGGTTATTGAAGAAACGGTAAAAGCTGCGAACGTAGTAACAATAAAAACTTGAAGTAAGTTCACTGATCACAATTATTAAAATCAATGAATCACAATCAATTTCAGGACTGATGAAGAAAAATAACACGTCAATTCAATGTTGTCCAATGGAAATGTACTTTGGACTTATTCTCATTAAATTCCTATTAGATAAAATACATGGTTGAGTCGAATAAAATAATGAATGCTTATTACAAATTTGAAATTATCAATATAGGAAGCCCTTATCGTAACAACAAATTTCCTTATTTTGGGTACTAGTCAACTTTATATTGATTCGATGCTTTAAGTATGAAACACACTGTTTTCTTTCAATATTTTTTTACAGCAACATCTTATATTATGTTATTGGTATTCATTTTTAATATGCTAGGAATATTCCTACATATATATGTACATCTATGTAAGTTCTGTAAGAATCATAGTTTGAAGGTGAAACTGATTTAAGATATATCCTACTAATATTATAATTGCGAAAGTTTGTGAGTGTGTACGTATGTTTGTTACTTCTTCACGCTCAAACGCCTGAACCGATTTTGATAAAATTTTGTATACAGGAAGCTGACAACCAGGTATAACACATAGGCTACTTTACATCCCGGAAATCTCGGAGATCCCGGAAATCGGCGGGAAACACCGCGGGGCGCAAGTAGTATAAATATATTATTTGTTTCTTCGTACGATTCTGTTTCAGTTAATCTCCGTAAGTAAAGTACAGATTATCTCTGGATTTCACGGCTAATTAAAGTTAAACGAAACGTTCAGGTAATTTAAGTATAACACCAATTACTAATATATAAGTCAGATAAACAACATCGATTTGTGCTACATATTGTTATTGACATCGTTTTTCTGTTGTGGGATAGATTTAAAAAGTATGCAGGGTGACTGGTGAATTACTATCAATATTTAAGGAGAATACTCGGCACATGATTCTCATTCGAATTATGTAAAAAAAATAGGTACTTAATTTTTGACCAAATTTCCGTATAAATAAATAAAGTGTTGACACGTTCCAAGTGTTCAAGTGTGGACGCGTGCGGCGGCGTGCTGATACAACACCACGTCGCGACACGCGTATGTGTGAGTGTCAGTGTATACCTAATCTGTAGGGTGTTCACACGATGCGTAATTTATTACATAACTTTTGGTTAACTTTACTTAGAAGTTTATTAATATTTATGTTATATTAATTTTTATTTTGTCATATATGATCGTCAAATATCACGTCCTCAATTATCGATAGTAATTCACCAGTCACCTGTATATTGAAAAATTCCTGTACATCAATAATTATACTTTCGTTACAATTTATAAGGTTAATAATTTTAGAATCTTATAAGATTTTTTTATTTATTTCTTTATTTTCAACTTAAAAACAATACTCATTATATATGTATTCTTCAGTCTGAAGCTATTATACTAATTAAAATTATAATTTTTTGTACATAATCTCCACACACATACATATTGTAGGCAGTATGTCTAACTCAATATTCGTTTCCCGATTTATGAATGAGAAACTGTTAACGCTGCGTATACAGGGTGACTGGTGAATTACTATCAATATTTAAGGAGAACACTCGGTACGTGATTCTCATTCGAATTATGTAAAAAAAATAGGCACTTAATTTTTGACCAAATTTCCGTATAAATAAGTAAACTGTTGACACGTTCCAAATGTTCAAGTGTGGACGCGTGCGGCGGCGTGCTGATACAACACTACGTCACGACACGCGTATGTGTGAGTGTCAGTGTATACCTAATCTGTAGGGTGTTCACACGATGCGTAATTAATTACACAACTTTTGGTTAACTTTACTTAGAAGTTTATTAATATTTATGTTATATTAATTTTTATTTTGTCATATATGATCGTCAAATATCACGTCCTCAAATATCGATAGTAATTCACCAGTCACCCTGTATAGTTTGACGTTGCCAACTTGGACTAAGCATTCTAAAATTTATCACACAATTAGAGCGTTATAACTTAACACATTACAAGTA